AGGCCTGGAGGAATGTTGTCCATGGGATCGCGATGGGCCGGACACGACTTTGCAACTAATAACAAACTTATAACCATAATGGACGGTTTGCATTACGGTTGGAACTTGAGGTCTATCTATATTCTAATGACATGAATAAGAATAGGACTTAAGAGGGTATCAAAACTAGACATTGCAACTTTTTACTTTGGTTTCTACCCTCTCCTTTTTTGACAAAATAGCTCCAGAAGGAGATGTAAAGGAACACAAGACTGTCAATAGATGGGTATAAGAAGGGATGTCAATATCTGATCATGAGAAGAGGAAAAGAACGGTAACCTGGACAACCATTGCTCTTTTTTCCAGATAACTTTCTGGAACAGTAGGACTTCACAGATAATGTATTACAGGTATACCTCAACTTATGTCCATAGTTAGGCTTGGAACTTCACTACTAAACAATGAGGTCATTAAGTGAATTGCTCCCAATTTCACAACCTTTGTGCTGCAATTCTAAGTGAATCACATAGTTGCTAAGCAAATCCAACTCCTCCCATTAACTTTGCTTGGATGGGAAGATCATAAATGGTGATCAACTAATCCCAGGATACTGCAACAATCATAAGTTGGTGGTAAGTCACTTTTTATTACATCACTGTAACTTCAAACAGTCACTAAATGAATGGTTGTAAGTTGAGGACTACTTGTATAAAAAAAATGCCTAGAATGTTGATACACAGTCAGTAGGATAAAGATAAAAGTAACATTAAAGTTAACTATCCAATTTAAAAATCTAAATCAGGCTGAACAGTAGATGACTAATGGAAGTCCTGGAGGAACTGCACAGTGAAGCAAACAAAAAATTATTTCCGTTTTTATCAAGCCATCTCCACATTCTCTGGCTGCATCTTATTTAGAATACAGAAAGACTGATTTGCATCACTCAGTCTTCATGCAGACATGCAACTACAGTAAGTAGATTATCACATAGAAAGGACTGGTATGGAGAACCACCCTTGCTTCATAGAGCAGTGCTGAAAGAAAGAAATACAATACATATTAGCAGCTGAGCCTTATAATGGGTAGAGAATTGTGCTCTCCTGGCATGGAAGATCATATTTTTGAATTTAGAAACAAAGTTAAAAACAACACATTATCATCTGAATTTGAAATACATTTATACAGTATACATGTTAAAGTGTTATAGTGTTAAAATAGTTAAACATAGATTTCCTGTTATTTATGAATATGGCTAGGAGTTTAGCTTACATTCTACTCTCTTAGATCAAAAGAGTAATTTACAGAGTAGCATATGTAACAGCCTACATCAATAATAGGAACAACAAGCAAACATCAAATTCTACTAAGCTACAAGGACTAAAACCATCTTTCAGGATCATGAGTTAGGAAAAAAGAAATTGCCATGCCTACCACAAGATTAAATTTGGGTGTAATTTTAAACTATTATTACATATGCCACTCTGTAATTTTTTTAATATATATTAAACCTAAAGTGTGCACAAATTTTTACTAATATTTGGGCCATTCCCTTGCAAAAACAATATAATGTAAGCACTGAAATAATGTTCTGATCTATAAAAATGGCTTCTTCCATTTCACAGACTCTCTTTTGAATACAATTTTTCACTCTTACATACTTTTTTCCACTGTGGCTTAGTGGATCATTTGCAACAGCATCTACAATGATTAGAAGGATGGATAATAAAACATACATATATATTCTGATTCTACTGAGTGTCATGGAAGCCAAATTGCTTCTAAATGCAACTAAACTGAGCACTCTTTTTAAATGTTTCTTAAAACATCTTAGAACAAGCATGTTAACCCATTCTTTTTATACCAGTGAGCACTTTTCAGACCCTACCTGGCAAAAAAGAAAAATGTGCCATTAAATCAAGCAGATACAGATATTCCCCAGATAAAATGAATTTCTTACTACCTTATTTTTGTATTTTCTACAGCAAAAACCAAGGAATCCATCTAGTGGTCACTGAAGGAATCACCATTACCAATACATTAGATCATTTCAACCTTTTCAGAGATTGTACCACTTTTAGGATATGGCAATATTCGAGATCCACCAGTTACCTAGCAGGTGGGAGTGGCCTGTTCCATGCCACTCACTGGACATAGCTGACTCAAGACAGCTTGGTCGGAACGGAACAAGTCGCACCATCTAACTTGATGTGGGGACAACTTGGTGCCCCACAAACTCCTCGCCTCCCCAAACAGCTAGCAGCCAGCAGGTATGCATGCACATGCACACACACAGGCGCGCACACACACACACGCACACACATCATTCCTTTTATTCACTGAGGACGGAGAGGACCTTCTCCCCAAGCCAGGCATGATTGCCAATTTGCTAGCTCAGATGTGGATAGAAGTCTCCAAGTTTGGAATATGTGTGTGTGTGTGTTTGTGTGTAGCACACTAAAGAGATCTTCTTTTCCCAATCCCAGACATTGTTGGTGTTTCCCTGTCCAGTGCCCCCTCCTGGCAAAGCAGAAGGTGGAGGATGTTTACAGGAATGAGTTTCCTCCGAGAAAGAGAGGTGGCAGGGGAGCAGAGCTCCTGGGTCCGCAATAGGGAGGCTGGCCCTTCTCAAAAGGGAATTCCCATTTCCAATCATGCTTGGGTACGATGCTGGCTTGTTGGGGCAGCCTTCCCTCACGCAGCTCCCCTGCCACCCCCTCCTCCTCTCCAGAGACCTGCAGGGGAGACAGAGACCTGGAGGGCAAGGTGCAGTCTCCATATTGGCTATTTCTACCACTCCAAGCCCTCCACAATTAAACTTACATTATATATAAATTGAAACATAGCCAAAAAAACCCTTAGTTAAATCACTAATTACAGCTTTTCACATATTTTCTGGAAAAACCACCTTTATTGACATTAGGAAGGTCAATATTAACCTTATTAAGGAACTCTTAACAGGAAGGTCTCGTTTTTTCTAATCTACCTTCCGTTTGAGCCTTTAGTTCTCATTATTTTATTATTATCTATTTAAGAAGAAGATCAAAGGCCTCCATAGCTCGGAATACTCACCTTAAAATCAGAACCCAGAAAAATTTAGTTAATCCACCATACCACCCTATGAAGAATGAAGATAATCTTTGGGCCCTGAGAGCAAGCAGGTGTCAAGTAAGAATATTAGTGGCACACCTGTCAGCAACTGGAAGTGCATTAGTCCATGTACTTCCCTTTCCTGTCTCACAACTCAATCCATACATCCTTTAATTTTCAGACAAAACAGCTGTGTGTCTGCCGGAGCCGTGAGTACAGGGGCCGGGCTCCTCGTCTGACTGTGAGTCTTGGAGCTCCTCAGAGCCTTCCTCTGACTCCAATGTCACTCCAGGCCCCTCCTCCTCATCTGAATCCTCAGACTCAGCTGCCAGATCCACTGGCTGGTGAGGGATCACAACAGCTGCTGCCCCCTTCCTTGGCAGGGCGAGGCTGGAGCGCTTGGCCTTTAGTTGGGGCTGCCAGCATGGCGGCGGGTGGGAGCACTGGGTGAGCATCACTTTGCAGGATGAAGCAGACAGAGGTACTTGCAAGGTGTCTGGCTCAGGGGCCAAGGAGAAGGAACTAGAGGGGCATAGTGGCTGGGCTGCCTTCTGGCCTGTTGGATTCGGGTTTTTCCTTTGATTGCAGGTTGAGATGGGCCAGCCTCTTGCTGTCTCCAGGGCAGTCCTGGCCAAATGTAAACACCCCACAGGCATGTCTATTTTATATCCTCTCCTCTCTTCCCCTCCTCCTTTTGTCTTCGGTGTAGCAGCAACTGACTCCTTTCCCCAGGCTGCACGCAGCTTCCAGAAGCACCAGTCAATTGGAGCCTGGCATGGATACTGGGTGCTCAGCAGAGCCCTGGCAACACCACGGCTCCAGCTGACTCTCCCACAGGCCTGAGCTGCGTTGCCGCCACTTTAATTCATCCCCACGCTACACTTTTACACTTTTTTTACACTTTTTTTACAGTGCTTTTCAACCCATCGTAAGCATACCACCTGCCAGGTGCCGGCATACCACCGATTGAAAAGCCCTGCATTAGATTACCAATAGAATAGATTAACCAATGTAAACTATATCAGAGTGAGAAATCAGATCAAAGGGGCAAGGTTTTCTTTTGGAATAGTCATATGATCTGAAGGAAATGTGGAATATATATACATAGCCATTACATTATTCTTATATAAAATTATGTTTTGTATTTTTTAAAAAAATTAATCTTAACATTTTTCATTTTTTTAATATTTTATTATATTGATTAAATTACTCACCACCCAGAGCCCGTTGATGAGGGAGATGGGCAGTTAAGAAGTTTGATGTACCACCTGCCACACTTGTAAGTTCATTGAAGCCTGGCACTCTGCTAGCAATTCCATCAATAGACACATTGATTTACTACCAGCCTACGAACCCCTCAGAATCCAAATCAACTGCACAGCCAACAAGAGACAGCACCGAGCCCCAACCAACCCACACAAGCCTCTCCCCCCCCAGAAGTTCACCTCCCAATGACCCTGACCTGATGTAATCTCCCCATCACAAGACCCATCACCAACTTCTCACTGATGACTCACTCCTGATCCACTGATAATTCACACCATCCAAGGACCCTGACCTGAAGTAACCTCCCCACCACAAGACCCATCACAAGCCTCTCTCTGATGACTCATCACAAGATCCTCACTTGACACACCCACACCTGAAGCCCTTATAAACAGATGAGCACTGACACAGACATCCCCTAAACGCTGCTGAAGATGTTACCTAGCCAGGTAAGGAAATGTTCGGAAACCAGCCCACAAGCTTGGAGAACAAACCCTCACCCTCAGTTTGATATATAAATTAATTAAATAGACAAGAAAAAAATAAAAGAAAATATAGCTAAATCTAATTTATATAAATAGCAGCCTTATCTTTCTATACTTTTGCAACAGCTTCATTCACCAATTCAAATACATTTTCTTTTGTTCCTTAAACTTTTCATCTCTTTCTTTTTTATGATTTCATCTAGCCCTTCCAATCACAATTTGTTTTTCAGCTTTTCCCTTCCTCTGGATCCCATTTACTTTTCCTTCATGTAATGTTTTGTTTCCTGATTCAATTCTTTCCATTCGCTCTAAAAGACCAAATCATTTCAACATGCTTCTTTCCTAACTGCAAATCATTCAGATTTTTAACCAACAACACAACTTCATCAGGGCATTAAAAGACACAGACATTAGCCTCCCCAAACCAACAGTTCTATTGCAACCACATGCGTTCCTTATGCATTTAAGAATATATGTAGAAATATGTACACATCTGTATGTGATGTGTGTAACAAATAAACAAGTGTAATGTAACTAGAAGCTGCAACAAACAACTTTTGCATAATTTTTCTTCTGCTTTTTTGAGAGCTAAAGTGTGTATGGATCAGTGTGGGTGTGTGCATGAGCATATAAGGGTGGGAGGGAGAGAGAGAGCAGAAAGCAATGCTAATACCTTTATTATTTGTTGCACATGTGGTGGTAGTAGCTTTAAACTTAAAGTAGCAAAACGAAATGCATAAACAGAAAACAGACTAGGTCAAAAGTAGAAACCATGCATTTATTACTTTAAATAGCAACAAAGAGTCCAACACTAACAATTAAGCATCTGAAAAAGAGCAGTGGTCAATATTTTTTTCACTCCAGGGAGAAGGCAAATAAAATGTTTCCTGGACTCACTACAGAAAACATGAGCTCCTTGCCGTAACCTCCTTGTATGGTTTACGCTTTCTTCTTGTGCCTCCACCCACAGGCAGCATCTTGGCAACTACAAGTGGGAAAGCCAGCCCCAGGCTTTTGGGTGGGAACACGATACTTCGAGGCAGTGAGAATGCGAGGCTGTCCAAGCATTGGAAGCGGCCAAGGTCAGCTATTGTTCAAGAGGGTATAAATAGTCTTCTGCTGGTAATCACCAGCCCCTACCTACTTTTTTTTCCTTTTTAATGAGCAACAGTTGTCACTCTCCTGAGATAAGGAAAGTGAAACAAAAAAACAAAACAAAACAAAATGCAAAGGAGAACTATGTGGCAGTCTACAGCAATCTCTTGTATTCCAAGGAGAACACCATGCACATTTCCCATTTGGTATCATAACTGACACCGAGTACAAGATGACAGGGAGTTTCTGCAAATAGGGAGAAAATACTAAAATGCCATCTAGCTTGCATCACATCCTAAGTTTTTCTTCTCAGGGACCAAGGGACAGCAAATTAAGATACTCATTGTTCTCCTCTGTTTCCAAAGCCTTATTTATCAGGACACTTGTTTGAAAAATATTGTTAGGACAAAAAGCAATATATTCATAAATATTGTTGGATTGGTGCTTCTGTTGACACTGCAGCTTCCAATCCTATTTGCAAGCTTCTTCTTTGGTGCATTTTTCCAAATGTTTCCAAAAGATAAATAATTGATATTCCTGCTAATGATTAAATGCAGGGAGATGTCTTTCCGCTTATATCTAGCCAGTGGCCTATGGCAGTAATAAAGTTGACCGGGTCTACATCTAGCTCTCATATTTAAACAAGATCTCATATTACTTTTTATAATGTGTTTGATCTTGGCAAGTTGATGGGTTTTGTGAATGCTGAAAAATGAACATGCAAACTTTAACATGCTAATGCCCATTATATGCTCAAACTGAAACCTGAAACCCATCATGTTGCAAACAGATAAGTGAAAAGTGAGTGGCATTCTTCCATTGCAACTTCCAAACCGAAGCTCTGAGATTGGACAAAGCTGGAATCAGGCATGTGGACATTCCACGTTGGTGCTTCCAATTTAAGTCTGACATAGCCTATATTACAATTCCAGATTGGTTCTGATTAAGCGGTCCCTACCAGGTGTTACCCTCATATTCTCTTACACCACTCCATCAACCACCACCTGGCCTGCCACCTCATCTTCACTGCAGTTCTTCTGGGGAAAGGAATGTTTTGGAAGAAGTTCAAAAGCAATACTTGGTTGCCTGCTACCATGTTTTCCTGAAAATAAGACCTGGTCTTATAATTTGTTTGGCTCCAAGAGACGTATAAGGACTTATTTTTGGGGAAACATGGTATCAGGATGACACAAGAGGCGGCGAGCGTGCAGGGGCTGATGGTGGCCGGCAGCAGCCACAGCCTGCGGACCCCTTAGTGCAGCACAGGTAAGTCTGAGCATGGAGACAGAGGCTGGGGTAGGCAGGTAATCTGAACACACTGTATGGCCACTTGGCTTGCGGGAGGCTCACGTGGCAGCAACAGGTGGGCACGGAGGCATGGGAGGGAGGCAGGTGATCCAGATGCACTGCGCAGTCACTTGGCTTGTGGGAGGCTCATAGGGGGCCTGCACAGTAGCACTGGCAGTGAGCAAAGGCAGAGGCATGGGGGGAAGCCAGGTATCTGGATCTCCTCCCCATGCCTCTGCCTGCTGCCAGTGCCACCGTACAAGCCCCCTGCAAGCCACGCGGCCGCACAGCGCATCCAGATTACCTACCTTCCCGTCTCTGCCTCCGGGCTCCATCTTACCTGTGCTGCATGGGCTGCAGCGACTGACAGACACCATCAGTCCCTGCATGCTCGCTGCCTCTTGTGCTGGCCACGCCCACCCCTCCTGGGTTTATTTTTGGGGTAGGGCTTATGTTAGGAGCACGCTAAAAGAAAAATCAGGCTAGTAGGGCTTATTTTCTGGGTGGGTCTTATTTGGCGGGAAACAAGGTATGTGTTAGTTTGTCTGAAATTCAATCCTTGAAAATGTTATCAGGCTCTGCATTTGTGGAAATTAAAATGGAAACAGTAGTCATCCAGCAATGTCAAATACTGTTTGAAAAGGTTTCCTGCTCATCACAGTGTGGTTGCTATGGATGAATTGCAGAAGATGGGCACTACTGGTTCAAACATTGGAAACTTACTTTGAATTCCAATACAATGTAAACAATTTTACCACCAAATTGCTAGTGATAAATCAATACTACTGTAAACATTTGAAGGCATTTTTTTGAAAATATTTATTTGCTTATGTTTTAGTTTAAGAAAGCTTAATCAGAAATATTACTGAATCAAGACCTCCAAAGTATAACTTTTTTTAAAAAAAGATCACATTACTAGTAAGGGAACAAATCATGAAATTCTAAAAAAACACCTTTTCACACAAAACTTAAATAAAGACAGGAGGAAAAGAAAGTTAACATAACTTAAACAATTCATTTTTCTTAAAGTTGATGGTGATATTAATTCACTTTACACATAAAACTATATTGCACTCTTAATTTTCTCTATTATTTGAAAGAGAATACTTTACTTATCCACATTAATATAATATCAGTGAACATCAAGAGAATTGGAGTTGAAATGAGCCATTGAGATGAGAGAGCAGCACTGCAGCACTGCAGAAAATGTACTGTTAATCCATCCTTTTCCAAAAAGTTCCATAATGTTTGAGCAACATCAGTTTAAAAAATGTTGAATTGGTGGGGAAAAAAGTGGGTGTATTAGGGAAAAAAAACCCAGAGCATTTTGGAGAAAACCAAACCTGGAACTATAAAAAGGAGATAAAGTGGAAAAGTACATTGTAAGTCTCCCCTTCCCTTCTTATTGATAGTCACAATATACATTGCTTTGCTTTTATGTTTTAATAAAAAAAGTAAAATGTATTATCTAAACATTTTCTTTCTAGACTAAAATTCTGCTAGCATATGCCACGCTTCATAAACCTAAGCTTAGTGGAATTCAGCTTAAACATTTAATTGCCTAATTCCATTGCTGAGAGCAGTTGGGGTGAACAGGGCATTTAATGGCTGCTCCCCTTGATCATATGTTTCCCAAATGCTACAGAAACATCTTTGGGCCCCAGACTCCTAATTACAATGAAAATTGTTTTAAAACCCGTAACTGCATCAATTAGAGCATTAGCTGTTATTACAACTTCAGCGTGCACTTTAGATGGTGGTGTGCCTCTCACAGCTTGCCAACTCACTAGAGAAATAATTACAATGCATCCTTACCTTTTAAGCTTCCTGATGAGATGAGATGAGGTTCTGCCTGGAATCAATGCCTGCCAAGATGCCTGCTGAAATTTCCTCAGGAAGTAGTTAAGGAGTGCTATAAAATGGGACTAATTTAGAAGGCAAAAGAAATCTTGCTCTAATTTCCAGGAACAAATGGCATCAAAGAAGAACAAACAGCTGGATTCCCCCAAATATTCTGCCATCACAACCCCCACGGGAGCAGGCAGGGTGTGGTCTGCTCATATAATCAGAGGCATGTGCTGTACTCTTCAACACCAGTGTAAAGCAGGGAGAGAGAAAAGGATAAGAAAAACAGGGATCAGAACTAGGGCACTATGTATTAAATCCTTCCATCGGAGGATTTTATTTGAATTATCTTTATATCTCCCAGGGTTTCAGGGCACTGTGCCACAGCTGGGAATATTAAAAACTAAAGATAATGAGCCAGCTTGAAATTAAGTCACTCAGCATTCAAAGTGAGTTCACATTTTAAAATATTTACAAGTGGTTTTTAACGTGTGCTCCATGAGTCCACGTGGAATGTGGCATATAAATAATTTTTATTTTATTTATTTCTTAAATAAATGCATATGGCCTTCCACCTCAATCATGTTGATTCCAGGGCAATTTACAGAAATACAACTCCAAACATAAATCCCTGTAACACCCCCCCCTCCCTGGTGACATCAATCAAACCAAACCACTTGATGGGCTCCCTGTCACCCTGGGGTCCCTAGGCCTGCTGGCACGGCTTTTTGAAAGAACATCAAAGTGGGAGGCCAATCTTATTTCTGCAGGGATGATATTCCACAGGCTAGGAGCCACTATGGAGAAGTGGGAGGGGACCCATAACCCACCTGTCTCCCTGCTTTGGTGGGTTGGTAGATGTAACTGGGAAAAGATGGTCCTTCAAATAGCCTGCTTCCCTGGGAAGTCTTCTCTACAAAGCATTCCAAAGCTATGACATCACCGCAGAGAATGTGGTGCCCAGTTAGATGACTTTCAGGAACATCCTGTCATAAATACAACAGCATATAGTCTTGCTGCACCTTATCTGTGTTCTCTCACCTGCTTCTATGAGCTAGCATAACTTTCATCCATCTAGTACTGTTAAATCGCTTAGATCCACAAAAAGCTCACACAATAAATTAATTTTTAATAAGTGCCTGAGCAGTCTTTGGGGTTTTGGTGCAGCAGACTAACAACATGATAACCTTGGAACGGATGCTACTACTGTTACATGGATCAAGAGTAGGTTAAGAATTGTACCCATGAATACTTACTGTATACAATCTATGTGATTCTGTATCAAACTAACAAGACTTGTTGAGTATAAATTTATATTCCTGGATCCTATTTTTATATGTCTGTAAATGAGTTACTTTTTTTTTTTATCTGCAGAGGCTATAAAATAGCAGGTAGAAGAAAGACTCAAGATTCAAAAAAGATCCTCAACAATATGACATTTGGTAATGTCTGGCATTCAGTTCCAAAAATCAAAGACCTAAGAAGTCAACAAAAGAAACCAGGTTTGGGAACAGAAAATTTTATTTATTTATTATATTTGTATGCTGCCCAATCTGGAGAGGCTGTAGGTGCTAAACAATCTTATAAAACAAAATATCAATAAAAAGGAAAAGGAAAAAAGAAAGACATATATAACGATTAGTCAAAAGATCAAAACATAAAATTAAAGATGTGACAAAAATCTAACGTCTTCATATATTACAAGATGACGATGAACAGGAAGCAGACAATAGTTATTTACAGTATGAATGCATTTAGGCTGCATTCACTGAAGTAAGTAAGTAAGACAGGCCACAGGCCACAACACTAGTTTTTTCAGTTGTGGGCAGCACATTTTAAGAGAGACATTGCAAAAACTGAAGCATGTTCAAAGAAGAGCATGCAGAACAGAACAGAAATTAAGGATTCTTTCCCACAGTAGCTATGAGAAGAATCTTGGTGTCCTAGTGGGCCACCACTTAAGTATGAGCCAGCAGTGTGCTGCAATTGCCAAAAAAGCCAATGCAATCCTAGGCTGCCTCAACAGTATCAAGATCATGTGAATGGGGAGATTGGGAGAGAAAGATGCTTTCAAATTTGCAAAATTCTGTTAATGTAACCTTATAATAAAGTAGAGCTAGCACATCTGGGCATGCTTCTTGTCTGGATTGCCTCACAAGTACATTTCTCTCACATCAACTTTACAGCCCAAGAAACTAGGAAGGGACCCTTCTGAGACATTTGCTACACCCCCATTCCTTCTGTGGACTCTCCCAAAGTAATTCCCACATACTATTTTACACACATACACACACACACACACACACAATAAATTCCATACAGATAGTCCTTGTCTTACAACAGTTCATTTAGTGATCATTCAAAGTTACAAAAGCACCGAAAAAAGTGACTTAATACTGTTTTTCACACTTATGATCGTTGCAGCATTCCCATGGTCACATGATCAAAATTCAGACACTTAGCAACTGACTTGTATTTATGACAGTTGCAGTGTCCCAGGGTCCTATGATCACCTTTTGCAAACTTCTTACAAGCAAAGTCAATGGGGAAACCAGAAAACAAGCATTTTACTAACTTAACAACTGCAGTTATTCTCTTAACAACTGTGGCAAGAAAGGTTGTTAAATGGGGCAAAATTCACTTAACAAATGTTTCACTTAGCAACAGAATTTTTGGACTCAATTGTGATCATAAGTTGACCTGTTACCTGCACTGGTAACACACTTTTGGTCCAGTTTTGGTCACCATGATACAAAAAAAGAGATTTTAGAAAGAGTGCAGAGAAGAGCAACAAAAATGATTAGGGGACTGGAAGCTAAGCCATATGATGAACGCTTGCAGAAACTGGAAATATCTAATCTAATGAAGAGAAGGACTAGGGGTGACATGATAGCAATCTTCCAATATTTGAGGGCTGTCACAGAGAGGAGTGGGTCCACCTATTCTCCAAAGCACCTGAGGGCAAGACAAGAAGTAACAGATGAAAGTTTAACAAATAGAGATACAGCCTAGAATAAGGAGAAATTTCATATCAGTGAGAACAATTAATCAGTAGAATAGCTCGAGGGTGCTCCATCACTGGAGGTTTTTAAGAGGAGACTGGTCAGCATTTGTCTGGAATGGTATAGGGTCTCCCACCTGAGCAGAGGGTTGGACTAGAAGATCTCTAAGGTCCATTCCAACTCTGTTATTCTGTATTCCTCCGTCCCCGAGTTGGCTGAAAAGTACATTGATATAAATCGTGCTGTCACCAAGGCCAAGCTTTAATGGGCCTCAGCAATAAGGCTGATAAGTGATGCTGCCTGTATAGATTTAATGTGTGACAATTCCATGCCAGTGATAGCAATGCAAAACCAAGCCTTGGGAATGGAAAGAGATGAATAAATTATTAAGGAGGAGGAGGTTCAGAAAAAAATTATTCAGGCCTGGGGAAAAAAATAAAGCACTAGAAAGAAAGAAACTTGACTTTGTTTAGATTCAGATGGAGGGGAGAGAAACAGCTGCTTCAAAACTGACAGGCTGCTGTTATTATTGTCATGCCAAGCTCAGACTCAGACTCAGAGACTGCTCTAGAGGACTTGGAGGCACTTGAGGTGGGGCCATCCAGGAATCAACAGGAGTAGCTGCTTTTCAGTTTTCGAAGATGAAGAGTCTGAGCTGCTGTCTCCACCCAGCAAAAGGGCAGAGAAAAGAGCAGGGCAAAGGTGGTCTGCTAGGAGCCGGGCCTCCTGTAATAAGCAACACCTCCACTGGTTCTAGTTAAGTACAGCAGCAAAAATGAGGAGGAGGAGAGCTCAATTACAGCATCAAAGACATACAGAGCCAGGTACCTACCTACAGAACAGATCATGAACTGTTGATGTGAAAGCTCCACGTTAAGCTTAAGAAGAAAGCGAACCAGTTTCCATGACATGATCTTGAACATATAACTCCCATTTTCAAGGAGAAATCGGAAATTGCTTTGAAATCTCTCCCCATCACATTCCTGCTCCCCGATCTGGCAGGAAGGATCAGATCCCATTGTTCCAAGTCCCATCCTTAGTTTAGAAAGTGCCATCTTGTGGGATCACTGTGACCTTTCCTGCTACAGTGCCTGTTCTCTGATACACCAAGCCATTGATATTAGATTACCTCTAACCCCGTTAACCTTTGAAAAGCCATTCTGACCTAGATTATTTTCCCAGCTATGGGTGTGAGAACTTAGTTACGTTCAAGGTGGTTGTTTGCTAGTTTCCTTGATTGCTGTTGTTGCTTTGTTATTAGTTTTTCTTTTATGTCACTATCTGTACAGCTTTTACATTTTGTTAGCCGCCCAGAATTATCTTTGAGATATGGCCATTTTAGAAATCAGTTGAAATAAAGACACCCAGAGCCACCTTTCAGGGGAGATGGGTGCCATTTAATCAATTAAATAAATTGAAATAAATACCTCATTGTATGATCAACTTGCCAAATTTTGCCCAGAAACAGGTTCCCAAAGATATGATTATTCCTGTTTTTAAAAATAGGAATTAGTTAGAATTAGTTAGAAAAACAAATCTAATTCTGACGTATGTGCAATTTCTCTAGTTATATTCTGTAAATGAGTGTTTTAGTATGGATTGGGGCTACTCTGGGAACCACTTTGCCTAGGCCATAATTGGGCTTCACACTAGAGCTCCAGACACTTAATCCATCTGGGCTTGACTTGGCAGAAAATTCAGACATGACCAACCAGATTAGAATCTTTATTGGAAATAAAACTAAAGTCCTAAACGCAACAGTTGATTGCCTACTACGAAGTAGAGACAGCATTACATAATGGTTCTTCCTAGCATGGGAACTTCTTTGCCAGTTTCAATTTTTATAGCAACCCTCACCCCTTCCAATGTCCAATTCCCACTACATTTTTCCATGACGTAAAATACAATCACTTGTCCAAACTGCTTGCTGATTCTAGTTTAACATGTTCTATGTGATATTTCTTCTTTTCTTTTATTTTTTTTACCATCTTCCCCCGGAGTGCACTTCTGGAGGTTGTAATTTTGAAGTTTTTCATAAAAAGTTCTGCCCCTCTTCTCCACTTCTTCTTATCATTCCTAGAGGTATCACATGCAAGCAACAGTTTAATGCTCCCTTCTCATTTGACTCTAAAGAGGCTATCCAGACTAAGCTGGATAACTGTTAATTGTAAGCTAAGAGGAGGTGAAGAAATAGGAACATTGTTTACACTTGTTGTGATAAGGGTGGGAGGTTGCTTTCGTAGGTTTTTTTTTCCTCTTTTTTCCTCTTTCTATTTTTTCTTCTTTTTTGCTTTCTTGAGTTTTCTATTCCATTTTTACTCTGTACTTTTATTATTTCAGTTAAGGCTGTTCATAAAAAAAGAGTAGGGAATGAAATAATTTGAAAAATGGGGTTAATAGGCTAGATTCTTCAAGTGGGACAGACTTGCTGATCAGAGAAATATAAACAAAATATGGAGTTTGGCACTAAAACTACAATGTAGTTCATAATTAGATGGTATTGGCACCCAACCAAAGTTGAGCACATCACAACTAATCATAAAAGGAGAGCTGTTCAGCTCTTTGCCACACCCTGCACTAATCTCCATGAACACAAACATCAGAAATATTCTTCTGAGGGATTTGTGTTTTTTGGAAAGAAGGAATAGTTACTTACTTACCTTCTTCTGGAAGGAAGGAATTCAGGTAGTCCTCGACTTACAATCACAATTGAGCCCAACATTTCTGTTGTTAAATGAGACATTTGTTAAGTGTATTTTGCCCCATTTTACGACCATTCTTGCCACCGTTTTTAAATGAAATACTGCAATTGTTAAGTTAGTGACACTGTTGTTTAGTGAATCTGGCTTCCCCCATGGACTTTGCTTGTCAGAAGGTCACAAATATGATCACATGACCCCAGGACACTGCAACCGTCATAAATATAAGCCAGTTGCCAAGAGGTTGAATTTTGATTATGTGACCTTGAGGATGCTGCAATGGTTGAAAGTGTGCATAACGGCCATAAGTCACTTTTTTCAGTGTTATTGTAACTTTGAACGGTCACTAAATGAACTGTGGTAAGTCAAGGACTACCTGTACTTACTTCTAGCTCTCTATTCAGAATTTTCAAGATTGTCCCACCATTCAGCTATTCGGGCACGCTTTGTGTCTATATCCTCCACTCAAAATCTCTACTGAATTGTCCAAGGGGTGGGTTTTTTTAGGCCTTCCTTCATCCATTTTTTTCATGCTCTGGTTAAGTAATAAATCTCGACAGGCTGAGAAACTATTGCTCCGGAATAAGTTAATTTCTTGAGCAGAGTACAGGTATGACATAGCCAATCTTTGACCAAGTTGGTGGACTTACTGCAGGTCTGTGGTTGCAGACCTATGACCACCTTACTGAAGTTCAATACAATTCCAAGCATGTCTTCTTTGGTTATTCAGCAGCTGCTGATCCTGGAACCAGACCAACAGATTTTAGAGTGGGTAGGCTGTCATTCCATTAATGCTTGGGTGTGCATGCTGGCAAAGCTTCATAGAAGGTGTGTGTTTGCTTCAACCTTCCCTGTTATGCCATCTAGCTCCATTCCAAAGCTGCATCTCTGAAAAACTGCAATGTGTAGGAAGAGGGATTTGGAGAAGGAAAGAAACGTCTTGGTTTCAAAATGAATGGCAAAATATTTCACAAAAGGGGGGGGGGGAGAGAGAGAGATGGAGATGGAGAGGGAGAGGGAGAGGAAGGAAGGAAGGAAGGAAGGAAGAAAAAAAGAAAGAAAGAAAGAAAGAAAGAAAGAAAGAAAGAAAGAAAGAAAGAAAGAAAGAAAGAAAGAAAGAAAGAAAGAAAGAAAGGGCAGTTCTTATAATCAAACTACTCATCTTTTTCAAGTGTGGTCATTCTTCCTGATTCCATAAGCCCCATCTTTGAGCAAAACACAGACTAAAGGACACTACTCAAAGGAATTCAGAAAATTTAGTTGTTGTTCGGATCAAAGCTAATGAGGATTGCTTAGCAAATTGCTGCCACAGGTATCAATAAAAAGAATCAAATATCACATGTTTGTCTGCAAGTATGAACAGCCAAACCCTACCTACATTCCAGTTTAGAACTGCTGAAGTGGCGCGTAGAGTGCTGCTACAATAATTATAGTTTATAACTCTTCTGAATATTAATATGGCCTCTTGGATTTCATCACTTGAAGTTTTGAAAGCTGTATTTTTCCCAAGGTGTTTGAAAACAATACAGCTCTGCTAAATGCACTAGGACTTTATTTTTATTCTTTGCTTTTTTGGGGGTGGGGAAAAGAGATTAGATAGCTTCCTTTCATGGATGGTTTAATTGCAGGGAATTAGGTTGGGTGATCCATGTGCCCTCAATTCTCCACTTCTATGATTTTATGATTTTTTTTTCTTGGAATATTGCACTTATCATTTATTAATTATTAATTAATTAATTAATTTAAATACACCAGCTTCCCAACCTGAGTGGACTCCGCACAACATCCCAGAGTAGGAAAAAAAAAAACTTCATGTAAAGGACTAAAAACATTAAATCAGATGGACAGCCTAGACTAAAATGATCTAATATAAAGAAACAAAGCAGGGTCTTTAAAAAGATAATAAACATCACCCCTCAGGTCAGGTTTTCAGAACCTTAGGAGAGAGGATGCCATCTTTATCTTGGGAGGGGAATGTTGTTGTTGTTGTAATTGCTGGGGTGTAAATTAGTTGTTTTTCTCATTCAACTGCAATCAGCTAATTCAGGTAGTCCTTGCTTAACAACCATTCATTCAATGACCATTCGAAGTTACTACGGCATTGAGCAAATGGTCCCAAAATGCTTTTTCAAGAGGCAACTGGACTTTCTTGTTTTTCTTCTCATCCAAGAAGCTTCTTCGGCTCTGACTGGTTTTATACTCCTTGCAGACAGCTGGTCATTTGCATTCTTTTAGAGAGTCGTTGAGGCCACCTGGAGGTTTATCTGTGTCTTCAAGGTCACCTGAGTGGTATGGAGCCTTCTTGGAACTGCTGAAAGGATTGTGTTATAGACTGGAGATATATGATGTTGTATCCTGCCCTTCTATTGAGAGAGGGCTATTCTATTTCAGAGCTGAAGAAGCTTCTTGGATGAGAAGCAAAATGTCTTCAAAGAAAAACAAGAAAGCCCAGTTGCCTTTTAAAAAAGCACCTTTGGGACAACTATGACCTGGATGACTGAGAATCTCCATAGACATATTGACATTAATAATTATGACTGGTCCTCAAAGTTAGTAACTGCATTGCCTGTACATGATATGATAAATTGTGGCGCTTGGCAGTCTACCCATATTTATGACCTCAGGGAGTGCTTCAACTCCCTCTTCCACTTATTTCCCCTCCATCTCTGCCATTTTGACTGCCTTGCTTCTTGCCATCTCTGCTGTCTGCCCTGTACTGGGCCTGCCCTCCTGCCCTCTATTGCCTATGCTGCCCCCTGGTGCCCTCAACTGACCCTTGCCACTTTCTTCCTTATTTGTTTGTTTTTTTGTTTGAATTCTATAGCTGCCCGTGACAGCAAACGATTCTGGGTGGCTCACAATTCAAAACATGTGTCCCAAATGTGCTTTTTCCAAAGACAACTGGACTTTCTTAGTTTTTGCTTGAAGACGTTTCACTTCTCATCCAAGAAGCATCTTCAGTTCTAAATGAACTGCCTTTTGAAAAGGGACAACCATGACCTGGATAATTGAGAATCTCCACAGACATTCAGGACATACATTACAATTAAAACAATTTTTTAAAAAAACAATAAAAACAACAAAAAACATTAAAACATCTAATTCAAGTACATATAACAGAAAGATAATCTGGCCTGTTGACAGTAGAGCCAGGAGGCCGGGCCTTTGGTGCATGTAGTGCCCTAGGCTCAGAAGCATGGCCAGGTTTTTAGAGCTTCACAAAAGGCTAACAGGGTAGGGGCCTGGTCAGCTAAGAAGGGTGGGAAGTGGCAGGGACAGAAAAGTGCAAGTCAGTGGAGTTCAAGGAAGAGTGTTGGTTCAAGTGAAAGGCAGCAGGGGTGGCAGAGTGCCAGGCGTCCAAAAGGGCAGAGATGGGAGGAAATAGGTGGGTGGGGAAGAGTTGAAAAAGAAGCCAGCACAGCAAAGTAGGAGAAATGTGAAGTCCTCACCTAAGGACAGTGCGATCCTGGTCTATCAACTGTAACTCGGACTACTTGAACTGGTGTCACTAAGCAATGCAATAATGTGATTCCCCCCCCCCTTCCACAACCACTTTGCTTGGCAATCAAAATTCTGGTCCCAATTAGGTTCATTAAGTGAACACTCATATATTTCTTTACTACATTGTTATATTATGTCACAACTCTTTTAACTCTGGATGCAAACAAGTGGGACACAATTCTATATAATGGAATCATGTAATGATGATCAAGCTTAAAAACTTGGGTTATCAAGTAACAAGATTTTTCTTTATAACCCAATCCTTTAATAATCCCTTTGCTCTTTTAGTCATTTGCACTGCAATTTTTGTATTTATTTGGTATGTCCATGACCGTTGTTTTGCTATTATTGTTGCTATTATTATCTCTTCTTGGATATATTACTATTATTTACTCTTGGATATTGATATTTTGAGGAATACTATATTTCAATTCAAGAGAAAATATGGCAAATTTAACAGTAATAAACAGTAACCATCTAATAAAACACCAAGAGAGAGAATTAAATTAAAAATGTTACTTAACAATAGAGCTCATTTGATGATTTTGACCAACCATTATCGTTCACTTCAAACATTGAACACCGTCTGTATGCAGTCAGGAACTAAGTGTGTGAGTTGGACAACCATATATATCTATTTAATAACAAACAATAAATAAACCACCTTACAGCTTGCAGTTGGGGAGAGAAATAAAATGACTTCAGAGTCATGCACTAACTAAATTCCTGGACAACACTTGTAAGGTGACCAACTGTCCTCCTTTAGGGAGGACAGTCCTCCTTTTGTATGTTCTGTCCTCCCTCAAAAAGTGTCCTCCTAAATGTCCTCCTTTTCGATATTTGAAGCCTAATCTGCAAGGCTTTTTTTTTTGCATAGAACGCTCAGAACGGCATTCCGGCACCTTTTTTTGATGGTTTTTTTTCAACTTTTGCTGAGCTGAGCTACTCCCCCTATTGACTTTCGAAAGCCAATAGGAATTGCTGCCGAGTGCGCCAAAACACCCAGCCAGCAAACGTTGCACATGTAAGTTGTCTGCAGTGAAGGTGAATTGGCAGGAACTTTGCACCCCTCCCTGCTACCCAACTACATCATCTCCTAGTTAGTCCCGAAGATACCTGGAGGAGACTAACTTCCATTTAGGAATAGAAAAATCAAAAAAGAGGAATTTTCAATGATAAATTGAATAAGGAATTTCCATTCATCACATCAAAGAAGGATAACATTGTTTTCTGCAATATTTGCAGTGGAAAATTTTGTATTGCAGTTGGGGGCAGAGCAGCTATTACGAAACACTTGACCACCAATTTTTTTTTCCAATTTTCCATTTCATAAGAAAATGTTTAAAAAGAATTCATTCATCTTTTACATGTATTACTCTCCTGCAAATCATATTAAGTTGTATGTTGCATATTATTTTATTTTGCATTCAAAAATATGCCCATGGGTCTACACAGAGAGACACATACAGATATTTTGAGTAGAATATTTCTCAGGGCAACCATTTCTACGTCCTGTTTCTAGAGAACT